TAAACAGACAATACGACTCGTTACAGAGGACATCGCCAAACTACATACCAAACTCCGGCATGTAGACATTCACAACCACTGGCTCCGACAAGAAGTCTCCCGCGGCAAGATTATGGTGAAGCATGTTCCGACAGATTATATGCTCGCCGATGGACTAACAAAGGCCCTGCCAGCGAATAAATGGGAGAACTTTCTTAACCAATTAGGACTTGTTGAGAGATGCCAGGTATCACCTAGGACACTTCAGGTGAATGAAATGGAAAACTGTATTGAAGAAGCTATTAAAGGGGATGAAGATAATACGCCAGCTCCGAAGGGGTTCAAAGCTGAGGGGGTGTGTCAGAAGTAAGGCTTTAGTTGAGGCCCATGCATAAGGCCAAGGAAACAAAAGAAAAGAAAAAAGCCACAAAAAGGCGACACCTCAGGAGATAGCAAAAATGAACACCTTTTTCATGACCCTATCATTAAAGACCCATCAAATCTGACAACAAGCCAAGCGCTTCTCTATAAATTTGCAAGCAAGCAAGCAGAATTCACTGTGCTTGCTTGGTTGCTTGAATCGCGCTTGATTATAGACAAGATTATTGGTGTTATAGTAAACTAATCTCATAATAGGCTCTATAGTTAGTAGTCATTGCTTCTTCTTGTTGAGACAGAGGCTTGTTGCTTTAGCTTAGCTAGAGTTATTGCTTCTGCAGCTTTGCATAGGCTGCGACAATATGTTAGATACTAACTTCATACCTATCTTAGCTATCTATGCTATACGTATTACGCGTTTCCTCCGTGTTGCAACCTCTAAGCTACTCTACTTGTCATCATGCCACCCAGAAAGCGCGTCTCTACCACCTCTATCGCGCCGAGAAAGCGCGCTCGAGTCGCAGATCCTTCTGGCTCCGCCAGCCAGCCCATCGTTGTCAATATACAGCCATCTGCTCCATCTCCGTTGCCTCATCCCCCATCCGTTGAAGTCCTGCTCGAAGCGTCGCAGGCCACTACCTTCGAGTCACAACTCCGCGATTCTCGTCCTGAAGCTGAAATTGTCGCGCCTGCCGACGGCAGCGAGGAGGCGACTATAGCCTCATCCAACGTGGCCGATGAGGCTGCTGAGCGCCTTGATCAGAACTTCGAGGACAACTACGACAGCATAGACTGGCTGCGCCTACCACGCTTTACGAAGCCACTCACAACATCGCGGCGTAAGCCTTCTTGGATTTATCAACATGGCTATCGCGTTGTTCTCCTTACAGACCCAGAACAAGTATTCTGGGTCTGTCGATACTGTCACATCCACAAGTATATTGACGCTGGCCGTGGTGGTGTTTTCCCAGCTGCTGCGACAGCTCAAGCTGCGCGCCACCTCTGCGAGCTTCGACCTGGCCATAGCCATCAGCTGCCTGGTAAGCCTCGCAGCGTCGTTAATGAAGGCTCTATCCGCAGCCTATTCAAGAGTGGAGTACCAGTGTCTCAAGAAGTCGCCAACGAGCTTGGTCACTTCGATATTCAGCGCTTTAGGCTTGCTGCGGTAGGATGGCTTGTCGATAACAACCACCCACTCTCTGAGTTTGAGAAGCCAGCGTTTCGAGACATGATAGCTATGGCCAACCCAGAGGCAGAAGCGGCACTTTGGCAGGGTCACAAAAGCGTACGCCAGTACGTTTTGCGCCTATACAATCACCTACAGCCGCGTGTTGTCTATGAGCTGTCCAAAGCTCTTAGTAGAATACACGTAAGCTTCGACGGATGGACGACTAAAGGCGGCAAACGTGGCTATCTAGGCATTGTCGCCCACTACGTCAACCACGAAGGCAACCTCGTTGACCTGCCTATTGCACTGCCCCAGCTGATGGGCGCTCACTCTGGTGAGAATATGGCTGAGATTGTTTACAGTACACTGCAGAAGTTTGGCGTTAGTCCTCGTACAATAGGCTACTTTGTACTTGACAACGCCTCTAATAATGACACTACAATTGTGTCACTTGCGCAGAAGATGGGCTTCAACGCCACCTACCGTCGCCTCCGCTGCGGCCCTCACACTCTGAACATTGTTGGCCAAACACTACTTTGGGGCAAAGACAGCGACGCGTACGACAATAATGTTGGCGAGGTAGTTGCAGTAGATACGGAGCACAAGTTTATGAGTGAGTGGCGAAGTGACGGCCCATTAGGTGTGCTTTTAGCGATAATCAACTCTATTAAAACACCACAACAGTACGAGCTTTTTACAAACTTTCAGCAGCTCGCGCACCACGAGCTACCTATTGACGCCACCGAAGATGATCGCAAAATACTTGAACCTATTAAGCCTGTTATTACCCGCTGGAACTCCTTCTACTCATGCTTTGAGCGCGCCGCCAAACTCCAGTCTGCAGTCAACGCCTACGCCAATCACCACATAAATGATACTAGGCAGAAGGACGACCGCGCTCTACGCCTGGGTAACAAGCCACCCTTTGCGCCGCCGTGGATGAGGTCAGATGGGCTTACTGCTGCTGACTGGGCAGTAATTACGGAATATATTGACGTTCTAGGGCCACTCAAAACTGCTACAAAACGGCTAGAAGGACATGGCAAGAGCGGTAGCTTTGGATCTATTGCTGAAATTATTCCAGTATTTGAAGTACTACTCAGCAAGTTCGAAGAGAAACTCCAGAACTACGACGCTGTTGATCACTGTCAACACAACGAGGCACCCGAAGACCATCTTGCGATCAACCTCCGCGCTGCTCTTGTCAAGGCGCGCAGCTATTACAGCAAGCTCGATCACTCCCCAGCTTACTATACTGCAACAATACTCCACCCTCGCTACAAGTCTTTTTGCGACTCTGTGTGGGCAGAGAAACCAGAGTGGCTCTCGCTTAACAACCGCAATTTTTATGCTTTATGGGCAGAATACAACACCACGCCAAAGCCTCAAGCACGCCTACAGAAGCTCTCTAACGACCTCGACGACGCGATTGATAGCCTCTGCAACCCTAAGAGAGCACCTAACAATATAGACGAGAATGAATACACAAGGTGGAAGACCTGCGAGCCGGTGGCAGAGAAGGACTCACCTAACGCGCTTAATCCAACACAATATTGGATGGGGCTTCGCGAGCAATATCCCAACCTTAGTAGACTTGCGCTTGATATACTCTCTATCCCAGCCTCAAGCTGTGAGTGTGAGCGCATGTTTAGTGAGCTAGGTGATCTTCTCGAACCTCGTCGGCGTAATATTAGTCCGCAACTTCTGGCAGCAATACAGTGTGTGAGAAGATGGAAAAGAGCTGGGCTTAGCGATAACCAGGCTGCTGAAAAGTCAACTATTACTGATAAAGAGATAGAGCTCTTGTATAGTATTAGTACATGGGACAACGAACTCACCACTATGTAAAACTTTAGTATAGGCATATACACCAATCAAGCGAGTTTCAAGCAAGCAAGCAGCTACTTCACTTTTGACTAAACAAGCAAGCGCAAGCCAAGCGGGCTTCTCTAAGTTAGCAAGCAAGCGAACATGTAAGCATCGCGCTTGCTTGCTTGCTTGTTCCCAAGTATGAGTGAGAGTTGTCTGGCGATTCGTAGTGGAAAAGAGTTATGGATGTAATCGAGGTTTTGACAACGCTAATCTATTCGATAGACTAACATGTAATTACATGCATGGCGGCGGATTTTTGGACAGAATCAGGTCGAAAATAGTGCAGGCGCGGAAAGTACTAAAACGTATAATTAACTAATGTCGCAGCCGGGGCAAGGCTGCAGAAGCAATGACTTCAGCTGAGCTGAAGCAACAAGCCACTGTAACGGCAGCAAGGATGCATTGCCTCAGCAAGAAAAAGCAATAGCTATAACTACACCACACATAAATGAAGATGGTAGATAGCAGACACAATACAGATCGATTTGATCGCACCCACGCATGCAACAACTAATTAGAACTATTTCAATCCATAAATAAAACTTGGAATAAATCCCCGAAGTGCAAATTAATCCACTCCTGCGCTCAACAACATGCCCTCCTGTTCTTCCTGGGAAGGGTTTGCCATAATATCCTCAACTGCTATATTGAAACCCGCTTTTCTGTAGCAATAGGCCAGTTGAGCGCAAGTTAAAATATCTCCTCCAAGTTCAAAGACAGTAGTTTTGTCTTCTCTTGACTGAGTACCGAAGATTTCGTGCCAGCATTGCTTGACTGTCTGATGGAGTTCCGAGTTCCTTTCCTTGTGGTCCATTCCTTTCCGGCTTCCTCCATAAGGATGTGATATATCAACGGGCAGAACATCTGCTATTGGTACGCTATCTGCATTATCCTCCTGCGAGAGAAATGATATGATGCTACACAAAGAATCCAGAGTGGCCTGCATTACCGACGTGGCAATGTTCGCACTATCGTAGCTAAGTGACACTTCTAAATGGTCATCGTAAGGTACAGACATGACACCAACGTCTGCGATCTCAAAGGCGGCGCTGGTCACTTGCAGGCCACATGGAACACCGCCTATCGATACGAACTTCTGTAGGCCAGAAGTTACGAATTGGATGTCTTGATGTATAACCAAGGAGCTAAATCTTCGGATACCGGGCCAGGACACGCAATTGTCCAGGATGTCTTCGAATTCGTAAGCCTCGTGAGCAAAGGATTCTAAATGTTGGGCGCGAATCTTTGACAACAACTCCATTACAGTGAGTCCACTTGTATTGATGCGTACGGGGACGAGGTTCAGACAGGGGCCAATAACCCCTTCGATGTCCGGCAATGGAAGGCGACGGTTTGTGACAACTTCACCGAAAACTACGTCCGGTGAGGCAGAAAGTTTGCCTAAGACCAAAGCCCAGGCAACTTTGACAATGAGCGAAGTAGTAATACCGGCAATGCCTATACGTGATAATCTCACAGTTTGCTGCAAAAAGCCTTTTGGTTCTCTGGCAGAAAACGGTGAAATAGAGTTGCTGAGCCGTGGCATAGTTGAGCCGGATAGAAGACGTTTATAGAAAGCCGGCGTCTGATGATCTAGTGTTTGTTTTCTGATATTTAGGAATTCAGAGAACTGAGGGTATTGAGGAGGCGTATGACCATCATACAATTGAGAAAGGTCTTTGAATAGTAGAGGAAGTGTGATTCCATCGTATTGAGCGTGGGATAGACGGACAATCAAGTATGCTTTCTCCCGACCATGAATGAATACAAAACGCGTGACGATCTCGCCGAGTTTGAGCCCTTTCTTGCGGTCATCTTCGATGAAATCTTTCACTGCAATCTCTATTTTGTCGTCGGGAGACACATGTTCCTCTACTATACCAGTCGTAGATTTGAGTACAGCCTGATATAAGGATCGTTGGTAAGGAACGAAAACGGTTCGCAGAATGTCATGGCGCTGTATCAGTTTTTCGCAAGCAGATTTGAGATCAGTCATTCGAATCGAAGGCTCAATATCGAGACAGAAATGAACAAGCGCAGCCCGTGTCTTTAAATGGTTAGCTCCGTAGTACATTCTTTGTACAGCAGAGGCCGGGGCTATGGCATCAATGTCTTCTCCAGGAACCTTCAGATGTTGTTGAATATTTTTCACCACCACCTTACTCTTATCTGTGAAATACTCTGGTTTTTTATTTCCTTTTTGTGTCTTTGAAATTTTCTGCGCAGATGTTGCTGCACATGCTATTGCCATTTTACCAAAGGTAGGGTGCTGAAAGACTTGGTGAATTGCTAAGGGTATACTTTGCTTTTTAGCATTGGCGACTAGTTGCAATGCGCTAAGCGAGGTCCCGCCACGGTTGAAAAAATGATCGAGCCTAGATATTTCTGGTGCTTGTAGATTAAGCACCGTTGCCCATATATCGCGCAAAGTCAATTCGTGAGGACTAAGCGGAATTTCATCGTCCTTCATAACGTTTTCATCTATATTCCGATTTTCATTAAGAAACTTGAGAGCATAAGCATGCAACTGACGTCGATCCAATGTTCCATGCCATGTTAGGGGAAGTTCTTGGATTACAAACGTGCTCATAGGCTGTGTGAAATGCGGAAGCGCTTGACGTATATTATCTTTTGAGTGTTCGAGAGCTTGCTGTAATTCCCGGGAGTTTTTTTTGTCAGAGCATACAAACGCAACCACAATCGTCTCAACACTAGGATTGCTGCCTAAGTCTACAGCCTCGACAGCTGCAGCTGTAATGTGACCAGAGAGCGAAGTTAGTAGATAGTTTTCAATTTGAGTGAAAGTCTTCTTTCTGCTCCTCAACTTGAAATCCTGCTCTTTGTCACTCATCAACTCAAGATTGCCTTCCTGGTTGTACCGGAAAAGCTGCCCCGTTTCAAAGCGCGGGACATTATCTGTCGAATGTGTATTGAATTGATGATCTTTGATGCATGTCTTGCTTTCATCTTTAGCTTCCTCGCCGTGACTTCCGACAATACCAGTGTATTGAAGTATCAACTCTCCAATTGCCCCAGGAGGAACTGGGAGATCATTACTCAGTGGCAAGCCAATCCATGAATAGCCTTTCACGGGCTTTCCAAAATTCGGCAAGGCTGGATTGGTAAGAGACGCTGAACAGGTGGCCACTAAGGAGCCTCCTGCTACACAATATGTCTGAAGAACTGAACATTTCTCTATCCACCTCTCAATATTTGCTTCATGTATCGGTTCCTTTTCTCCATTGATGACGAGTGTTTGGATCCCGGCTGCTCCCTCCAGGTTCACAAGACGCGATGGAGTCGTAGCCACCCAATTGACCTTTAATTGGTTCACAAACGTTGCTAATTGTGCTAGATCTTCGGCTTTGCGGGCAATACAAACGCAGCCACCTGCAATTAATGTGACCAATATCTCTAACAAAGCAAGTCCGGACATGTAAGGCGCATATTGGAATGTTCTAGAGCGAGGCGTCAAATTCAGTACTGGGATGTGCTCTTTTGCGCCGAAACAGAATGTGAGGTGGTCAACCGTGCATGTCTTTAAATCCTTGGTGCTTTCAGAAGTAACGACAAGAAAGGCAGGAGGTGGAAAGACAGAACATGTAGGTGCTTCAAGTTTCATCTTTGTCATGCCAGACAGCAGTCCGTTTTCGCCAATTTGTGTTACTGGTAGATTAAGGCCCTGGAACAACTTGGCTTGGTTCGATGAAGTGATAATCATAGAAGGCGCAACATTGAGAACAATTTCTTCCAGGATTTCTTTACTCTGGAAAGAATCCAGCAGGATGAATGATGCACCGCTCTCCAGCACTGCAAGCATAGAAAACACCATCCATTCGGAGGGTTCTATGGAGATGGCCACTAGATGATTGTTTCCAATGCCAATTTTGCGTAGCTGACTGCATAGGAAGCTCGACGATGCTTTCAGCTCTCGATATGTAAAGCTGCCTTCAAGTGTTTCGATCGCAAGGTCATCTGGACTGGTCGAGGAGATTTCGTAGATTATGTCGTGTATATATGTTTTCGGCTGAGTAGATGAGTGACTAGTCCACTGGTCAAGTTGAGTTTTTCCCTTGCATGTTAGCGCATTTGTCTGCAGCACATGCGATTCAGGCTGCTTTAAGATGTGTTTTACGACAGCCGAGAATGTAGCCGCGATCTGTTCAGCAAATATTGGAGGAATCTGGTGGACATTACAGTCAAGGTTGATTATCACCTTACTGTCAAATATAATGCCAAGGACCGATACAGCATACTGCATCATCTGTCAGATCGGGGAATAGTTACTAGATAATTGTCTTACGAAATTATTTCACTTACCTCAGTATTTGAAGATAACGCCTTTCCATGGAGCTTGAGAGTAGAAGACTGCTGTACTGCGGTATCAAGATCCACGTCGAGTATACGTTGAATCGAGAAGCCAGTGTTGTATCCGGGGCTCTGTACACCCCAGGTGCCGTGGATATCTGCTGCAGAACAGATTGGAGAAGAGGCTCGAAGTATGCGCTCAGATTGCACACGCTTGAGAACGTCAATGAAAGTATCCTTTTCACTGATATAAGTGCGGGAAATGAGCATTCTGATGAAGACTCCAACGCCTAGATCAGAATTGTCCAGGGTGGGCTCTCGGTCTGAAGCGATGCAACCAAATACTGGACATTGATTTCCAGTGTAGAGATACAGGACCAAGGACCAAGCCGTCTCTAGAAGATCAGACATTACGAGGGCATGGGAACGACAGAATCTGTCCAAGCTAGCATACTGGGGCATATCCACGCTAAAACTTTGTATGGAAGTATTCGAGCCACTTATAGAGTTGTTCCAGGTTTCAAGGTAGCATGGTCCAGCATCAGCAAGGTGGGTTTTCCAAAAACTTAAAGCGTCTTCCTTAGGAGACTTCTTGACGTAGGACACATATGAAGAGTAGCGTGGACCGTTGGAAGATGGCAGCCTATTATCGTACGCAAGGACAAGATCTTTCTGCAGAATACCGATAGAGCTCGCATCAAGGAATAAATGGCTGATCTTAAGCCCGAGCAAAATCTTGTCATGTGATGATTTGATTGTCATTGAGTGAGACGTCGATAAAGTTCCCTCAGGGATTTTGGAACCCGTAGATCCCCTCATCGCTGTGCAGAACCCGTCACCCGAAACATCGCACATGACGTTGGCCTGCATGTTTTTGACAACGACCTGTATAAATGAGCCTGATGTACGGACATCGTCGAGAATTATGGTTCGTAGCATCGCATGCCGATCCACGACAGATTGCCACGCATTTATCAATCGAGCAATGTCCACTGGCTCTGGTGAAAGAATTTCCCATTCACATTCCATATCATAACGCCCTTGACCTTTGCTTTGAGTTATCATTATGCCTTCTTGAACAGGTGTCAGGGGATATATGTCTTCAATATCCGAGTGGGCGATTCCAATCGCTGGTAGTTCCTGCGTGATTAGAGTGCGAAGCTCCTCTGAGTTAATATCGAGTAAGGGATAATCGGCGGGTGTGGGCTGCTTGGGAGCCGAAGCAAGGTCTCTGGCAAGTTTCTCCATGACTGCCTTGCATTTTAGTGCTAGCTCTTTGAGTTGCGATTGGCGCCTCATGCGTCTGCTGTAGGCCATTGCTACTGTGACAATGCCGCTTTGGACTGTCACAATGAATTCAATCATACCAAATCGAGGCATGTCTGGACTGGCGCTTCCTAATTCAGCCTCTGTAAACTCTTCTGGGACCTTGAAAATTGCGTCTTCCCTCTCAAGCTGTTGGTATTGTCCGGCATAATTTAATGAGACTTCTATAGGGTAGTATTTGGACTCAAAGGGTTTTTTCCGGAGAATTTCTGAACTGAAGGCTTCCCAGCCATTATCAATCAAGGTATTCTGATGACTTTTAACATGTGCTACAGTGTCCAAAAGTTCATATCGGTGATCGCTGGGCAGAGAGATAGGGGAGAAAGTTGTGAACCACCCAACAGTGGACGAGATATCAACCCGCAGTGGGTCCCAGCTCTCTCGGCCATGACCTTCGCAAAATATTGTCGGAGGGCTTCGGTCAGAGAATGTACTAGCGAAAGAGTGCAGGATTGAAGCTGTTATGAGGTGGATTGGCTGTGTACTCATGCTTTCGTTTGCCTTGCCTAGTAAAAGATGGGAACTGTCAGAACAGAGGCTAAATTGCTCAACAACCACATCGCCATGATTGTTAGGTACTCCTTCCATGCCCCAATAGTCAAGATTCGGTAATGATGGGCTTTCCAATGCTGTGGCTGGTAGCTTTGAATGCTCATGAATATACTTTTTTTGCAGGCGAACCCATTTTTGGAAAGTTAGGGGCTTTGGGGAGGCGATTCGACCTTGGAGAAAATAGTCTTCCAGATCTTGTAAGATAATTCTCCAAGAAACAAAATCTATTACCAAGTGGTGAGACGCTAGGAACAAAAATTGTCTCTGAGGAAAAGAGGCCGTTGTGGACCGCACGGTAATTAAGTCTGCGACAAGTAGAGGCCCCTCTTGAATGTCTATCTGTTTATGCGATTCTTCTAGAATAGGAGGAATGCCATCAATATCTTCGAGAGAATGGTTTCTTAGTGTAAAGTGATCCTCAGACACCCCAACGATTGACTGAAGCCAGCCTTTGCGGAGGGTCTTGACGAAGCGTGTCCGTAGTGAAGAGTGCCGCTGTACGAGGGTACGAAGTGCTGATTCCAGGGATTGATTGTTCAATTGCTTGTTCAGTTCTACAATAATACTGAGATTGTAATGATTCTCGCCGTGCGGTACCATGTCGAAGTAGAGCTGCTGGATAGGAGAAACTGGTAATAAAGTATCAGGGTCTTCCTCCTCATCTTCCTCCTCGGCTTTTGAGACTTCGACAGCCTTCGAGTTCGATTCAATCAATGGAATGAGATCGCATATAGTTCGACTTTCCAGTAGGTCCCTTACACTAAAGTATATACCTATATCCCGACATTGAGATACAACTTGTATAGCGCTGACTGAGTCTCCCCCCAGCGACTGAAAAGCGGTATCAGAATCGACCGTGGTCTCTGAAATATTCAATACGTTGGCCCATATTCTCCGCACATCTCTCTCCAACTTTGTTGTCACTTGTTTAGGAGCGCTAACACTGTCTTTACCCAGCAATCTGGTTATAGGGATATGCTGCCCCAACAATTTGAGCAGTTTTCGATTCAATTTTCGAGTCGAAGTGTAAGGCAGATTTGCCAGTGGTATAAAAGAGGCTGGAATCATGTAAAACGGTAGCTCGCGAAGAAGATTCGATCTGATTCCTTGAAACAAATCCAATAGTCGCTGGGCTGTTGGAGAAACTGACTCAAGAATCCCGTCATCGAAGGTACCGGTGCCAAAAGTCACAAAAGCTACGGGAGCCTTAGCAGTTAGGGGTCCTTCGGATGCCGTCACAACTTCGACAGCTACTTCAAAAGGTTCCTTCGATGTAACAGCACGCCTGATATGGCCTTCGACTTTCCAGGCCTCGAAACGTTTGCCATGGAGTTTTGATTCCATTCCAAGTCGTCCAAGATACTCTAACGCTCCATCTGAATTGTATCGTACCATGTCTCCAGTCCGGAAGAATTTTCGAGATTGGTCGTCCGTAGTATTCGACTTGAAGTCCTGGATCCACTTGGGATTCAATATAAAAGAATTCTCTAAGTGGGTTGACGTGTCAATATATCCTCTCGCAATGTGTGGGCCTTCCAAAAGTAACTCTCCCACAGCCCCTAGTGGTGCTAGGATATCGGATTGGCCAGGCTCAACGACCCAAGTATAGCCCAGGAGTGCTCGGCCAATACAATTTTGACTTACCTTTCCTATCATTTCTTGGGAAAATGAGGCTATGGAGCTCTCTACCTGGCCATAGGCTTGAATGATGTTGGTACCTTCAGCCCAATTCTTTAAGCATCCAGCCTCACCTCCATAAACTAATGTGCGGAGACCCGGAACAGTCTTTAGATTGATTGACGTGGCCATAGAGGGTGTCATCAACGCCCAATTTACATCCGCACCTCTTATCCACTTTGATAGTTGGTCCCTATTACTTTTTCTATCAGGAATACAAACACAGCCGCCGGCTAGCAAAGTGGTCAAAATTTCCATCACAGCATACCCGGAGTTGTATGGAGCCAATTGAAGCACGCGAGACTTTGCATCGATATTGTAGCCTTCAGCCTGCTTGGCTGCAGCAGAAGAAAATGATGCATGTTCAGTGTTAACGCCTTTTGGTGCTCCAGTGCTTCCAGAAGTGAAAGCTACATAAGCTATGGAGTTGGGGTCAGGAGAAGGAAGTTTGCCATTGCAATTACTGGGGTTGTTTTCTTGGAGAGTTCCGAGCATTTCTACGCTTATTGTGACCGTCCGCTTTACCGTCGAACTTGATTGTTTTGCTGCATGTTGGGAAAAAAGCACAGTGTGAGGTTCCAATTTCCCAAGAATAGTTTGAATGTGATGGGTCGGTTGCGTGGCATCAAGCAATGTGAATGCTGCCCCTGCTTTTAATGTTGCTAAGACAGCAACTGTCACGAGATAGGATTTTTCAAAGATAATAGGGATTGTCTCCCCTACGTTAACGCCAAGGGTAATAAGATGATGTGCGAGGATGTTTGAGAGAGTATCCAACTCCGAAAACGTAAGCTTTCCGTCCCATGCGTAGACAGCAGGTGACTCTGCAAATCGTTCAGTTCGGTCTTGAATAATGGAGTGGATGCAACGATGAATCGTTGGTGTTGTATGGCCGTTTATACGAGCCAGCTCTGTATGATCTTCTGGGCTGAATATCTGCACTCGAAACAGAGGCTCTTCCGATAGCTGCAACAATTGATCGATTATATGACTGAACTGGAAGCACATCCGTCTCATTTGCACTGAATCAATGAAACGAGAATCATGCACTGCCTCTATTTCGATCGAATCTGGCCGAACATCGCAATTGAGTACTAGAGTGTAGGGGTGGAAGTTGGGTGGCGCGTGGAATGACATGTACTTGGTTATTGATTCAGTACCCAACGAGCTTTCCAAGTCACTCTGAATTGATATTAAACTTGAGAAGTCACACGCATCTCGGAATTCTTCCCCTAGAGCATGGATTTTGCGGAGACCAAAGTGTTGGAATGGAATCATCTCAATCGCAGCGTCCTGTGCTACTTTCAAAAACTCAGATATCAGCTGATCCCTATGAAGTTGAAAACGAATAGGGACGGTTGTAATTGTAGGGCCTACGATCTTATCAATACCAACCACAGGAGACGTTCTTCCGGACAGTGTGCAAGCGAACGTGACATCGCTAGTTTCACCATAACGGCCGATGAGGATAGCCCAGGCTGCTTGTAACAAAGTGGACGGAGTGATACCTTTTGGGTAGTTATGACGCAACGAAATTGAGTGGGTTGTGACTTGGTCCAAAGATGGCCGCTCAATCCCATCAGGCATCTGAGGGAAGTGACATTTGAGCGCACCGGCTAGACGAGATTTCCAGTATGATTCGGCAGCGTTTTCATCCAAGCTGAGCAGATGCTTTATAAAATGGCTGTACTGAGGAAATCTTCCGATCTGACCCCCAGTGTAACCAAGGTCGACTGCTTGATATAGAAGACTAGAAGACCAGGCATCATAAATTGTGTGGTGGGCAGTCCATACAAAATATCTCTTAGCCGTTGCTTTGTCTAAAATCACTGCTATCCGTGATAGTGGTGTTCCCAAAGACATCTCGACCTCAGAATCATTTTTCATATACGCCTCAAAGTCATCGTGGTAGGGGCATGTTGTCAGTGGGTCATCGGCGACAATTACCTGGAGGAGTTTACCAGAAGATGATTGAATCATCCTGGTTCTTAGGATAGGAAAATCATGAATTGCAGCTTTCCATGCTGATTGAAGCTTGGAAAGATCGACATGAGGAGGAAGATCAAAGCAGACCTGAACCATGTATGCACCCTTGCTGCGAGCTGAAACAGCCATAAACCCCTCTTGAAGAGGCGTTGAAGGATAGATATCTTCGATCTGATCCTCTGCAACAATGCAAATCTGTGATGCCTCTTTCAGATATTCATTGACACGATCCGGGGCAGGAAGTAAACTAAACGGGTGTATATTTTCCAGCTCTTCATTTGGCTTGAACGCCGCCTTGTGCAATGTCGTGGCCATATCAGACAGAAATGGCTTTTGCAGAATATTGGCAACAGTGATGGTGTAGCCAACACGCCGAGCTGCCACTACTAGACGTATTGCAGACAAAGAGTCACCACCTAGCTCTAAGAAATGATCATGTCCACGAATTGCATATGGCGATGTGTTTAGTACAATAGCCCATAAACTGCGCAACTTCTCTTCGGCCTCATTCAGTGAACCTGTTCCTATGGGCTGTGCCGATGAAGTTCCATGAGCTGACTGAGCAACTAGGTCTGCCCGTAATTCAGCAGAGAGTTCACGTAGGAATTTACGATCCAATTTTCCAGAAGGAAGACGCGGAAGGCTTTCAACTGCGCAAACTTTTGTAGGGACCATATATATTGGCAAGTCATCCATTAATGCGGTTCGAAGGCCAGGAGGTAGGGGAGATAGTTGCCTCAAAACACCGATATTCAAATCAAGAGGTAAGAAGGCAACTAACCACGGTTGGTCTGCGGGGGATGGTGCTGGTGCGATCTCGACTGCAACCTCTTCCGAAGAAACTGCCCGGCGAAGATGAAATTCAATTTCACCTACTTCGATTCGCTGTCCGTGCATCTTGATCTGCGTATCCTTTCGACCAATGATTTGGAGCGAACCGTCGGCATTATAACGGGCGAGATCGCCTGATTTGTAAAATCGCCGGAGAGCCTTATTTGAGCCCTGATCTTCTTTAGAACACGGAACAAGCTTAGATGCCCATTTCGGATTAGTAATAAATGAGTGACTCGTTTGCTCTGAGTCGTACAAATAGCCTTGTGCCAATACCGCACCTTCAATAAGAATCTCACCTGGAGCTCCAATAGGGGAGAGATTGTTATGATTGTCAGGCTCGACGAGCCATACCTTAGTCCATGCGGTTCCAATATTTCCTGGATGACTTTCTACAGTAATTGAATCGTTGCAAGCAATCCACGTGGTCGTTTCTGCTGGGCCGTATGCATTGATCAGACGGACACGTTCTGCCCATGTGAGTATGTTGTGCTTGCTTGCGGGCTCACCCACCATAACAATTTGTTCAACACCAGGAACTTCGTCTGGGGTCAATGTCCCTAGGACTGTTGGGGTAAGGAAGAGGTGCGTAGCGTTTAAAGAGTTGATAGAGGCTCCCAAATCGTTCATGCGACTATATTCAGAGGGCACACAGACACAACCACCACAAATCAAAGTAGAAAAAATCTCAGCTAGACTCACATCGAAAATGTAGTGAGCAAACTGAAAAACGCGTGTCTGTGGCTGCAGATTGTAACGGGTACTCCATACACTGGAACTAGTCACAAATGCCGCGTGGTCCAACAGTATCCCCTTGGGTTGGCCAGTGGTACCCGAAGTGAACAAGACAAAAGCTAGATTTCGAGGACTCATCTTTTCGATCGAACTTTTCCTTCGGTTTTTGATTTTCGCAATAGATTCAGCTGACACCGTCTCTTGTTCTACGTTTTCTCCCTTGAATATTTCCTGGCTCTGTACAGAAGTAAGGACTAGCTTCGCTTTTACTTTTTGGATCATGATGCGGAGGCGTGCTTGTGGCTGAGCGGGATCTAGGCTAGTGAAAGCAGCTCCGGCTTTTAAAACAGCGAGCATAGTGACAATCGCCCAAGCCGACTTCTCAAAGCATAGAGGAATAATACAATCCGTTCCGATACCGTACTTGTCTACCAGAAAATGAGACAATTTACTGGAAATAGAGTCCAGTTCTCTGTAGTTAAAAGAGCCATCGAAAGCTTCAACTGCCGAGCTGTCAGGATTCTGACTTGCTTGTCTCTTAATGAGGTCATGTATGCACATTGCGACTGCCTCAACAGAGCTTGAGTTCCAACTGTTGAGCAAAACTTCGTCTTCAGGAGGAATGAAGCTAATGTCTGAAATTTTTTGATGCGGATCGTGGACTATCTGCTGTAAAACATACGCGAGTTGGTTCAGCATCCGCTCTGCTTCAATGGTAGGTATTAGAAGAGGATCATGGGTCGCGTAGATCTCCATAGTAGATTTTGACCCCAGCTCGCAGTGTACAATTAGTGGATATGTTATGAAAGATTTGATGCTTTGTAAAGACATTGTGCCTGGAAATGGGCTAACAGATGCCGCCTTTGTATCACCTAGTTGAATAATAAGGAGGTTCTTGAAATTGCAAGCGTTGCGTATCGTCTGACTAAGACGCTGAATTTGCCTCAATCCAAAGTATTCATACGAGAGCATTTCAGCCTCTTCAGCTTGTATGCGAGACAGAACCTGAGAAACGGATTCTTTAGCCATAAACTTCACACGTATTGGTAATGTATTTATGGTAGGACCAAGCATATTTTCAATACCTGGAACTGGCACGGTTCTTCCGTGATGCATGGTGCCGAATATCACGTCGGACGTATTTGTGTACTTAGCAAGAACCAATGCCCATGCTCCACGAATCATATTCGAGAGAGTGAACTCGGATGCCGGTCGGCGGGAAAGGTCAACCTGGGCACTAACTGTAGTGTCGCTGTGGGATTCTGTGCTAATCGGAACTTCTGGGAAAACTGATGCATTCTGTGCATCAAGATACTTTGCCCAGAAAGCTCCAGCTTGGAGAGCGTCTTGTTGTAGGAGGTAGCTTATGTACGTGTTGAACTGAGGACCGCATTTTCGTGGACGGCCATCGTATATATCTTTTAACGCATTGAAGAACAATGGTATACTCCAGCCGTCATAGATTGCGTGGTGCACAGTCCATATCATTTGATGATGACCTGACACTAAATCCTGGTATAGAGCACAGCGGCTCAAATGCGTGCCAAATGTCATCGGGTTTAGCAAGTCTTCGGCTAAGAAGTGGTCTTTGTCTCGAACAACAACCCATGAAGCCTCATTAAACTCGCTTCTAAAGACAACTTGCTGACATCCAGCCGCGACTGTGTGGCATATCCGAGTGCGCAAGATTGGCGTGTCACTTACCAGCTTTTCCCATGCGTCCCGGAGCCTGGCGGGATCTACACTCTGCGGAAGATCGACTATTTGTTGTGCCATATATGCGCCTCGTTGCTGCTCAGATGCAATGATGATACCTTCTTGAAGTGGAGTGCAGGGGTAGCAGTCCTCTATTTCACTGACATCAACACCTAGTTGAGTAGTAATCTCGTCAATGACAGCAACATGACGATTCCCAAGGAGAGAAAACTCCTCTACAGTACTGCTTAAAGTATCAGTTTTATTAGTGTTAGCAGTAACCGCTGCCATGGCCTTCAAAGTTGGATGCTTATAGGCTTGAGCAACAGTGAGAGATATTCCCGCCTCGTGGGAAAGAGCAATTAAGCGCATCATTGTCACAGAATCTCCTCCGAGAGATATGAAATGATCTTTCAGAGAGATTCTCTGCGCATCGATAGATAGCACCTCTGCCCAAAGTTTGCTTAGTGCAATCTCCATGGGTTTTGAAGGCCGTTCCCCATCAGCAAGGTCAAGGTCGCCAGCGTCCCCTTTCTGTTTGCTAGCACGCTTCTCGGCTCCCCAACGGCGAAGAGTTTTCCTGTCCATCTTTCCTGAAGGGAGTTTAGGAAACGTGTTCAGAGACCAAACTGTAGAAGGAACCATGTAGGAGGGTAGTTTAGCCCGTAAAGCCTCCCGAATCGCCTCAAGACGAACGGGAGGTATGTCGTATAGCATGGTCTTGCCTTGATTATCTTCATTCACATCTGTACGTCCTCCATCATTGCGTTGAACATCAGTCTCTACACTGGCTGAGCTGTTCTCAATAAAACCAACCAATGATGTTTGGATGTTGTTGGTGGCGGGCCCTAGGACATCAACAGCCACACTTGTTACGGATTTCCCCAAAACTGCGCGCATTTGGAACTCGATTTCGCCAAGTTCGATCCGCTGTCCGTGTAGCTTCACCTGGTTATCCTTTCGACCTACTATAATCAACGATCCGTCGGTACTAAAGTAGGCAATGTCTCCTGTCTTGTAGAATCGAGTCAGAT